CTCGCTCAGGATGCCTTAAGGGCAGGTCTGGTAAGGCATGAGGATCTGGGGATCGAACCACAGAATTCTGAGCCTGACTACTTTGCTTAAGCAGGCTCCTTTTCTAATTTGGAATCAAAGTAATAATCAAATTGATAAAATTAGCTCTCACACTTTTTAATTTTGTGGAAAAATGTAATTAATACTGTCTTCCAGGAGTTAGTGACAGTGTAGGGTAGAGTATGTGTGGCTGTAAAGATTTAACGTGACTTTTGTGGTGGTAGAGTTGTTCCTCTTTTGTTGTTTGTTGGCAGCCCTGGGGATTGGACTCAGGGCCTTCACATTGAACTTCATCCCTACCCCTTTTTATTTTGTATTTGAGACAGAGTCTGGCTAAATTGCCATGGCTGTACTTAAACTTGTGAACCTCTTTCCTCAGCCTTCAGTGTGCTGAGATTAAAGGCACGTACCACCACATCCAGCATGGAGCTACATCTCGACTGGCATTGCTTTACACGAACCTACACACATGCCACCATAACACAGAACCACAGACGCAGATGGCACAGTGTCAGTTTACAAACACTGCTCTACAATTCTGCTAGACCGAAGTGGGGAAAAGTACCTGAAGATACAAGGGACCCCCCCACTTGTTCTGTGTTTCTGTAAATTCTGCGTCTGCTCGCCCTCCATGCGTCACAGGGTCAGCTATATCAAAAACCTTGCTTATCTTCTGTGTTCTAATGTTCTGACATACCTCGTTGACTGGGGAGAGATTCGGCCAGGGCATATTTAGAAAAGGCACAGTCTTAGCCTAGCAGCATTCCTCTGATACGTAATTAATCTATCCAAACCACACAGCCCCATCCGTCTCCTGGATCACATTCTCGAACACCACACCAGTGCGCCTCTTCTCTGCATCACGCCAGGGCCAGGTGCCACGCAACAAGAAGCCACCCTTGCTATCCAGAGCCCGCCAGCACTGCCCTAATTAGCCACCCCCAAACTGTTTCCCTGGTCTGCTTTACTTTCTCCACAGAAACCTCAACACAGTGATGGCCCATGCTTTTCCCTTGATCCTTCGCCTCCTGCCCAGGCCTAGACCAGTTCCTGTGTGGCCCTTCTCACAGGAAATAGAAATTATAAAACATTCTTGTCTTGTTTTATTTGTTTCTTTGTTTGATTTGGTTTTTGGTTTTTTGAGACAGGGTCTTACTCTGGCTGGCCTTGAACTCACAGCAATCCTGCTTCAGACTCCCAAGTTCTGGGATGACAGGTATGCACCACTGCACTCAGCTAAAGACATGAAGTTAAACAACCACCATGCCCACTGAAAAACCTCCCTTCAGTGGTGTCTGCCTCTCTGTGTGCTCAGGCACTCCCACAAATTAAACTCCTTTGGAGGCAAGTGATATACTTTCAAACTATTTCTGTATCCAGCTGTAAATCAATAATTACTTTAAAATAAAGTTTTATAAAGCTGCAATGAATTGGGCAGATTTCATGCTTTTGAAGTTTCCTGGAATAAGTGGGATCATTCTAGATTACAAAATGGTAAAACTCAAGTGTTCAAGCCACTGGTTTGTACTCTATTGAAAAAGAGGAAGGTCTTTAATTACTACATAAGTTTAAATTAAATGATCTTCAATTTTTCTGTTTATTTCTGAACATATTTTTTTAAATGTTTTTTCACGGCCAGGGAGATGGCTCAGTGGAAAAAGCGCTTCCCTGGCAAGAGCAAGAGTTCAATCCCTGATTCCACAAAAAAAAAAAAAAAAAAAAAAAAAAAAAAAAAAAAAAAAAAAAAAAAAAAAAACCTTTTTTCAAAAATGTATCCATTTTGTTTCAGTTTCCAAAACCAAGATGTCTTAGTGAACCTTTTCTCATTACTGAGATAATACCCAACACTCAACATTAAAGGAGCAAAGGTTTATTTGGCTCACAGTAGAGGTTTCAGCTCATAGTTGGCCGGCTCCGAGGCAGGGTGGCACAGCAGAGGAGAGACTCTCCATGGCAAGCAGGGCAGGCAGAAGACAGCAAGCAACAAGCAAGCAGGACTAGTAGTTTCTTTTTGTCCTGGTATATTCTACCTAGACTACCAGCCCAGCAGGTAGCACTCACCTGCCACAACAAGGCCAAACCCATCAGTGGACAGAGTTTGTAATCACACACCCTTACGCCCAGCATCACACACTCCAGATCCAGCCACCTTCAGAAAGCCCCCTCAGACTGCATGGGGCTTCGGGGGACACTTAGACACCAGCCATAACACCATATATGTACTTTTATTTTCTCATTTTTTAAACTTTTTATTTGTGTCTTGTCTCATTTGTCTTCCGGCAGTCTTGCCTGAAGTCTCCCTAACAATCAACTTTCAGTTTTGCTAATCTTGGTTTTCTTTAACTTTTTCTTCTATTCTGATTTGCATTCCTTTCTGTCCTGCTTTATTATGTCCTTATTGTTTCCTTCAGATTGATCTGTTTCTCTTTCTTAAATTCATTGAGTTGAGTGCTACCACAAGTGTTTTCAACCTTTCTTGCTTCCTGTCACATAGTAGACAGGAAATTCCCTCTAAGTAAATTCCCTCCAAATCCTGCTTTTCCTGCACCTCCCATACTTTTGTTGTCATCCAGTTTTAATTCTGTGTATATTTATTTTTACTTTTGCAGCATCAC